TGTAAGGATCTTAAGTTTTACTAACGTTTATTTTATTTTAAATCTTTACTATCACTTCTTATTTTCTACTTCCGGCCAGAATTATAAGCGTTAACGTATTTATGCAAAGTTTGTCTGGCGAACGCCAAGTATTTAAGTTGTGGCTTTTTGCCAAGCGAGAGAGAGGAAGCAGTTAGTCGAAGCAGGCCGCTTACCTTAGAAGTTTTACTCAGTTGCTGGTTGCCTTCCAGGCCAGAGGTTTTAATCCTCTTGATAATTTTAAACGTATTGTAGTGTTCACAGTTCTCTGTACTACATACGGCTTCCTGTTAATATAAGGCCAATCTTCCACGTTTATTATTTTAAAGTTAAATTAGAGTTTAGTTTTATTTTTATATTTTTACGTTTAGACCACAAGTAGTGGGTCTTGTATTCCGAAGTACGGAAGTTATTGTAAATAGAGAAAAATAAAGGGTTTTGTATACCCTTCTTGTGTATCCTGTCTACTTCCCACAGTTATTGAACATAGCTTTAGTAAGCTCTCTGTTCCGAGTCAGGTCCTTGCATGTTCCCGAAAGTAAGACGGAACATTGAACCTGATAATTTGTTGAAATATGAAAGAAATCCTTTTATTCCTTTTTTCCGACAGATATCAAAAATTACACTGGGGGAAGAACTCGAAACTCCCTAGACCAAAAAAGCTTATTTAGTTTTTGATTATGACTGGAATAATAATTGAAGCTCTTGAAACTCCAGAAATTAATCAAGATGTTATTGGTATGCCAGGAAAGTAAATACTTAATTATTGTAAGGGAAATTCGATAAGACTTGCTGATGCTGCAGATATAGGTGTCCATAACTCTCAAATATCAGTATTAATTGGTAATGATTATTACTGGAAAATAGTCACTGGGAAAGTTAAAAGATTATCAAAGGGTCTTGTTGCCTCTGAAACCTTATTTGGTTACACTATAAGCGGAACTGAAGCATTAAGTAATGTTTCTACACTTCATTCCGGAATTACGGTAATGAATGTTGTTGAGAATACTTCACATGCACATGATTTGGAAATTAGTGCAGCTCTAAAACAGATATGGGATTTAGATGCAATTGGAATACATGACTATTCAGCAAATGAAAATGACACTGAAGTTATGCATAGATTTGAAGAAACTATTGAATATAAAACCAATCATTATGAAGTTTCATTACCTTGGAAGGATAATATGAACAAAATGGGTAGTAATTATAACATCGCCTTAAACAGATGGAACAGTTTACTTAGAAGGTTTAAGAAAAATCCTAAAATTTATGACAAGTTTCAAGGGTAATTGAAGATTATCTAAATAAAGGAATAGCTGAAAAGGCTCCGAAGAATTCTGAAGAAAACATCTATTATTTGCCATACCATTGTGTAATCAGAGAAGATCACGATTCTACGAAATTAAGGGTCGTATTTGATGCTTCCTCGAATACTCATGACAGTCTATCTTTAAATGATTGCTTACATTCAGGACCAAATTTAAACCCTGAATTATTAGATTTGCTAATTAAATTTTGTCAACACAAAATAGCATTTGCTGCAGATATCGAAGCTGCTTTTCTACAAATTCTGTTGAAGCCTGAGGACAGAAATGCAGTAAGATTTCTTTGGACTTCAAAGGAAAAGGAGCAACCGACGATTTTAAGAATGACGCGTGTAATATTCGGAGCTACCTGTAGCCCTTTTTTACTAGCAGCAACTATAAAGAAAGAAAGTTGAAAGCACAATATTCGAAGATCTGTCAGCTTCTTGAAGAAAATTTTTACGTAGATGATTTGATTCATGGTACAGATAATAAGGAAGAAGCTGCGGACATTTATGAAGATGTGAAAAGAATTATGATGCTTGCTAGTTTCAATATGAGAAAATGGAGGAGCAATAACGCCCAATTACATGCGATTTCGAATGCAGCTGAAAATATGAAGTTTAATGGAGACGGAATGAATAGCACTTTGTTAGGATAAAATTTGGAATCATGAAGCAGATAAACTGAAATTTCGAATCAAAGATGAATTACTCAAAGATCCGGCTGAGAAAATAACAAAGCGGAAGATTCTTCAAGTTGGCGGGCGAACTATACGATCCTATCGGTTTCATATCTCCCTTTGTCGTTGCAGCTAAAATGATGATGCAAGAATGTTGGCAAAGAGGTTACCAATGGGATGCACCACCTGATCAAGAATTGCAGAATCGATTTAAAACTTGGTATAATGAAATTCTAAATTAAAAAATGTTGAAATTCCAGGACATTATTTCAACAATTTGTCAAAAGGAAATCTGTCGAATATTCAATTGCACTGTTTTACAGAGAGTAGCCAAAAGGGATATGGTGCCGTTGTATACAATGAAAATGAGTTAACAAAAACATCATTTGTTATGTCCAAAGCAAGAGTTGCTCCCATAAAAAGGGTTACGTTACATCGATTGGAGCTTTTAGGAGCAGTCATAGGAGCTCGACTCATTACATACATCCGACATTCGTTGAAAAACATAGAAATGAAGATTTATATGTGGACAGATTCAGAAATTGTATTACATTGGGTCAAGGCTGATCCGACAAAATGGAAACAATTTGTACGAAATAGGTGTCTAGAAATCCAAGAGAAAACTGATCCAGATTGGTGGAATTATTGTCCCAGCCATGAGAATCCTTCGGACTTATTGACGAGAGGACAGAAGGTTAGAAACCCTTTCAAAAAATGAACTGTGGTGGTATGGCCCACCTTGGCTTGTCAAAGATAACAACGTTTGGCCCAGATCTTCGAGAAATTTTAAGGAAGATGATAAAATAACAAATTCTGAGAAACGAAAAGGAAAAGAAGCAAGAAATTTTAACAGCAAACTGTATTGTTGAAAAAGCGAACCTATCATTTCCTATCGAGAACTTTAGTGACATAAAAAAAGTATATAGAATAACATCTTATGTTTTCAGATTTATCAATAATTTGAAAAACCCAAAACTAAGAAGAATTGGACCTGTTAAGGCTGAAGAGATGAATGAAGCAGAGAATTTCTGGATCAAGAAAACTCAGGAAGAAACTTTTAGAGAAGAAATAAGGAAATTAAAGATGAAACAAAGCATACATAGTTCGAAAATATTTACATTAAATCCATTTGTAGACTCAAATGGAATACTCAGAGTAGGAGAAGGCTTCAAAATGCTGGGTTAAGCTATAATCAAACATACCCAGCAATACTACCTGAGAAGTCTCATTTCACAGATCATATCATTAAAGATTGTCACGAAATGCAAGCACACGCTGGTGTAGCTGAAACTTTAACTCAAATTAGGGAAAAATTTTGGATACTTAAGGGTCGACAGCGTGTAAAGAGTAATATTAACAAGTGTGTGATTTGCTACAGATTTAAAGCTAAGCCACTAAGTCAGGATATCGCTCCTTTACCAATCGAAAGAATAACAGAGGCAAATCCCTTCGAAGTTGTAGGACTTGATTTTGCTGGTCCTATGAGTACAAAGGATGAAACTGGGAAAGCTTATATTGCTCTGTATACATGCGCTGTAACCAGAGCAGTGCATCTGGAACTTGTGTCTAGCCAAACAGCAAACAATTTTCTTCTGTCTTTTTAGAAGATTTATTTCAAGAAGAGGAGTATGTCGAATAATATATTCAGACAATGCAAAAACCTTCAAAAGAGCAGACAAGGATTTACAAAGACTATGGAATACCATCAAGGACACAGAAGTTCAAAATTATTTTGGTAATAAAGGTATTGAGTGGAAATTCAATGTGGAGAAGGCGGCTTGGTGGGGCGGTTTTTGGGAAAGGCTTATTAGATCTATCAAGTCATGTTTGAAGAAAATACTCATGAAGGCTTCACTTAAATTTGAAGAGCTGGAAACAGTTTTAATTGAAATTGAGGCGATATTGAATTCGCGTCCACTGATGTATGTTTATAGTGAAGTTGGAGAACCAGAACCGCTGACGCCAGCTCATTTTCTAGTTGGACGAAGACTGACATCCTTACCATCTGGCAAAATTCTTGAACCTGATTCAACTAAAGAAAATTTAACAAGGCGATATAAATACCGGCTAAGGTTATTAGAAGAGTTTTGGAAAAGATGAAAAGAGAATGTTACTTACTTGAAATTAGAAACGTAAAACAAATTCAGAGAGGTAATGCCGTAACAGATCTTTTGAAAGGCTCTGTAGTTCTAGTACATGAAGAAAAATTACCAAGATTATTATGGAAGATGGGAGTTGTACAGGAGTGTCATCCAGGGATGAGATGGGAAAATAAGGGCTTGCACTGTCCGTTTAGCTAATGGAACTCATCTTCGTCGTCCTGTGCAGTTATTGTACCCATTAGAAATGACTTGAACTCTTTGAACTGAATACAATGAACTTAAATTGCGAACACTGCATCTATGAACATTTAAACTTGTAGAACATTAAAAACATTTAGTGTTTAAGATAACTTCAGAATCCAATCCTTTGATGAACCAAGAGTTCATCGAGGGGGAGGATGTTACAGTTTATGTAGCTGGCCACGAGAGGGTTTTTTACTTTTACCACGAGAGGGTTTTTTACACACGCAGTGTTTTTTACTTTTAGCTTGTTATATTTTTCTTACCGCATTGCGGATTTTTGAGATAGATGTAGTGGCAACCAGAAAAACATGATGAATCTTCTAATGTAAGCATACCATTCTTGTACATAGCTGTAAATAAAGCTTCTGTGTGATAAAAATGAAAAGGAATTCCAAGCGTTCCTGTGGATATTCATTAAGAAAGGTAAGCAAAATTTCACTTATCGATGTTGTTAAATGTAAATAATAAGAATAAGAAAAAAGATCATAAAGTTGCAACACGCTACGCTGTGCACATCAACAACTCTAGTCAAGGTGAATACAAAGCAGGGTAATTAAATTGTAATTTAATAAGAATACCTGTATATGAAGAAAATATAAAATATAACTTGAATGAGATGAATGTAAGCTGAGAAGGATCAGCTGTTCAGGGTGGCCACACAGGCCAAATGAATTTACAATTTACATAAGCCAAATGAAGTCTTGAATCTTCTGTTCTATTATGATTTTTTTTTATGTTAAATTACTGTTTACTAATGTTTCAGTCGAAGGACCACTAAATTGTGTTGAAATTAGGCTTTGAGAATTCCATTTTTCACATATTGAAGAGTTAATTCCTTTTACTAAAATCTCTTTGAGTCAAACAAATTTTGTTTTCCAAAATTAATATTATCGACAAATTGAGGCATTAACTATAAGTAATCCTCTTATGCTTGTGCTTGCTAACATTTACATGCATTATTTTAAGGTCAAATTATTTGAGAAAATATCTTTCCATTTCTATATTCTGTACCTAGACGACACTTTTACACTTTTGATAGTAATCAGGAAGATTTTCCTAGATTTTATCTGTTATGAATTTGATTGATCCAACTAGCCATTTCATTTTGGAGACTGAATCTGACAATTCTCTTCCTTGATGTTCTTATAATTCGCAATGAATCTGTTTTCAGCACTACTGTTTACCGTAAACCCTTTCTGTTTGTTTACTGCCCAATGCTAAGTCCATGTCACCTGGCTAAGCAAAAAATGGTTTCTTTTTACTGTTATGTTTTTCATGCTTTCAAAGTTTGTTCTCCAGGACCTTTGCTTGCTAATGAACTCAATTATTTGAGATCAGTTGTCATTGACTGAGGATTTTCTCCCGTGGTCAAAGCCATTAAAAATTTTTCAGCTTATTATCAAAGAAGACATTTTGCTATTTGAAATAACATTAATAAACTTTCTTTCCATTTCATCCTTTTGTCAGTTATAAAATTCCGCGGATTCTCCAGAATTTTCAAGTCGTTTTCTTGCCTATCAATAAAATCCATGGTTCGATTCTTAAAGATTCCATTTTTGGCTTTACTTGGGGTGTCAGTGTGGTTTGAGATACATTGGCCAAACTAAAAGAGCATTAAATTTTCATATCAAGGAACCCAAATCTTATGCCCAAGGAGGCGAAATTAATAAGTCTTCGATAGCTAATCATTGTTGGAAGTTGAATCATAATTTTGACGTTGGGTGTGCAAAAATTATTCAAGAAGCTTGTTGGCATTTATTTAATGAAGATTGGTTGCCTGAGCCTCAAGAAGACTGGACGTCTACTTCCTCCCCAATTTTGAGGAAGAGCACCTGGGGGAGGTCCAGGATCTTTCCTGCTACTAAACCTCACGAGAGAACTTTCGGATTGCTATATATTTAGAGTGGCCGCATGCCGCAAAGACACTGTACATTTACAAACATCCGTGCTTTCTCCGGGATTCAAACCCGGGGCCCTTCGGTACTGCAGTAGGTTTCCCTAACCATTATATGTCTGGGCGGCAAAAAGCTTCTTCAATTGGTGAATTGGATTTTCTTGAAGCTTTTCACATTCAATATCTTGTTAATAGCTTTAAATCCAATCTAGTCCTTCCTAACGCTTTTAAAATTCTATAAACTTAATTTTTCAATTTTGTTAACTATTTTTGCTGATAGATGGTACTACCTTCTTGCTTGCTTTACTGTGGAGTATAAATACGACAATTGCACCTGCTGCTTTTCAGTCTTACAGATTTCTTTTCTTCTGACGAAGAGGGAGCTGTACCTGTTTGCCTTTGAAATTGATTTAGATCTTGACTAAATCTACACCAAACTCAAGGTTGTTGCGTATCGAATTTTATGTAAGCAATGAGGCTGCTATACATAAAAAGGAAGCTAATGAGGTGGAGTGTCATGTGAATGTAATAAAGCTTCATTCGCAAGTACACTCTACACACACACACAAAAAAAAAAGTTCTATATCTTTCGTTCTACTGGGTCGATTGATAAAATTCAAATTGTGGTTTTCATGTCTCGAAAGCGCGACTTAGGATATATATTAGATTTATATATAGCACTATTTTAACATAAGTATTTTGACACAAAATTGGACTTTTTCTTAAATAACATACCAATTTTTTTTGCATATTTCGATTCTACGACTCAAATTATGCCTAAATATTAAATTTTGTGAAATTAAGTGCGAAATTTACGGAGAAATTCAAAAATTTATATTGGTTTTTTTTTTTTTTTTTTTCAGTTTGCGCCAAGAATAGTTCACTTGGCGAACTTCTTAATATATGGCAACCTATTTTCCTTTCCTGTGAGAGGAAAAAAAATCGCAACATTCTTTCTTTTAAATAATGTTCTTTTATATTTTTATGTTATTATTTTAAATACTTTTTCTTTTTCAAATTTCGTTTTAATTGTTTAAGTTGCATGGTTTCTTTCAAATAACTGTTTTAAAAATTTCTATTTACTCATTTGAACTGCATAGTTTAAATAAAAGGTGCATCGTTTATTATTATTTTTTTTTTTTCAAATAGTTTTCTTTATACTATATTTTTTAGTCGTTGTTATTTTAGGTAATTTTTGAATTTTTAGACTTTTATTTAACTTTTTTGTGTTGCATTGCCTCTTCAAATAATTGTTTTAAAATTTTCTATTCAAACATTCGAACTGAGCATTTTAAATATATTTATTAATATAAATTTTCCAAAATTTGAATTTATGTGCATCGCGTTTCTTTCGGAAGAATAATTTGTGACCCAGATTACGATGCATTTAAATTACTTAAAAAAAGCTTAAATTCCAAAGAAATGCTACCAGAAAAGAAAAGTATTCAAAATTCA